TAACAGAAAGGCATGAAACAGGAAAATGGTGATATATGCCCAATCTTTCAGGCAAAAAGGACTGAGATAATGGTATTTAAATACCATTCAGCAACTGTGGTTTAAAGATTATCTGGAAATGCAAATAAATGCAGACAAATGCAGCATTTAAACAGAGCACAACAAAATTGTTCTTGACAGAGTTCACTACAGTATGCAAACCTTCATGGAAAGGAAATTATTAAAATCAAAATCTATTCACTTCTGCCACCCCAATCAACACCTCATAAAGAGCAACACAATTGCTTTGAGTTTTGGTTTCCTACTGTCTTTGCTGGGTATAGTTATAAGAAAATTCCCCTGCTTAGATAAGTATGCCCACCAAAATAACTGTTTGGTATTAGTCTGTATTTATTCATCATGGCAAATTAAGGGTATTTCATCTCCCCCAAAAAGAGACATGATACAAACAACCAAAAAATGTCAATGCTTAAGATAAGCAGTTTTCATACAGTTTTCTTCCTCATGTAGGAACAACCACAGTTAAAGCATTAAAATGTACTATTTAACAGTAGTCTTAGAGAAAAAACCTAAATAAACACTGCTCAATAACGTATTTGCACATCACGTGGTAAAGTGCTGCAGCAGAATTAGTGCTGTTGTGCAAGCAAGGCTGTGTCACTAAATCTAACAGGACAAAGCCAGCTGAAGCAGAGACTAGTTGAGACTATTGATCATGAGGGTTAGACATACACACACAAAGAAGACCCTTTCCTTTAATAGATTCTGATACAGATCTCTCTGCGTCCTTTGACATCACTTGAGCTCGGAGACACAAAGCTAATCACACAATTAGAATCAAACGACTGGATAAGAAAATAAAAGGTAACTCCAAATCTACTTCAAAGTAAAGATTAAAAAAAGGAGCAATTAAGTACCTTAATACAAGCCACAAATGACGTACACTGAAAAGGCAAAAGCTAAAAGTCAAACCAATTTCCACAGAAACAGCAGAGGAGTGAAGAATTTAAAGGAAAGTTGGAAAGAAAAAACAGCCGATAACTTTTTAAAGGAGTACACATTTTTAAAAGATTAATATAAAAGCTGCTAAAGGTTAGAGAAAGAAATTGAAACATGCACAAAAGATGACAGAAGATGACAGTAAAAGAAAAAAGAACTCTAGGAGAATGACAACACATGCAGTCAAATATAGCAGCCACATCAAAAGAAGTTTTGTACCAATTAAAGCCTCAAAGCAAGAGAAAAATCGAAAGTTGGACAGGTTACCCTAACATCTTAGAAAGAATCCAAAGAAATTACAGACCCCAGGACTGATCTTTAACAGAATGATACAGAAAGGACTAAACTAAGGAAAAGAGCAAACAGATTTTTTCCCTCCACCTCTTCTTTTTGGGAATGTGTACAGAAGAACATTGAAGAAATTCATATAAAGACTAAATGAGTGAGATGAAAGCAGAAACCGTCAGTTAAGTGTTGAGGTTGCAAGACTCCTGAAGATGGAGAAGCAATGTAAAGCAGTGCTGTTTTGTACAGTGCAATCCTTTGGTGACATTTGAGGAAATAACCCAAAGCCTCTGGGCTTAAAATCATGCACTTTCACCTTGAGTTTTCATGAAGAATTTCACCCAATGCTGAAGCATCATTCCACATATTTATGACGTTTATCAAGCATTAAAAGATCATCACTTTGATTAAAAACAGGGACAGGGACAGATTGTAATACTGCATTAGTAAGGTTAGAGTGTCATGTGTTACAGTGAGGAGGTCAAGGATGAAAACAAACATCACTACTGGAAACAACACTTGTCACTTCAGGCAGATCAACAATGCCAGGAAGCTGTCATGCTATGCAATAAAGAATCCTTCGGACGGAATCAGCACAAATTTAAAACCCCAGTGTATGCAGTGTTCTAATCTTTGCACAAGGACAACAGAAGACTCTGGTATTTAGTGTGAGCTGACAGTAATTCAGACTCCAGAGGAACACAGACAGTTGTACTGCAAAAGGGCTTCTTCCAAAAGCATGGAAGTGAGCACACTATCAACACCACCATCACCTGCCCAAGATACAGCCAATCTGACAACAACATATACGGAGGATTATACAAGATGTTCACAGCTGATAGTGGCATTCAGCCACACACACCGTGCCCCAAATCCAGAACTGATAAGATGTACAAACAGGAATAGTTCAGCATACTCAGTCCAAAGATACACACTGTGATGAAAAACTGTAACTTTGGGTGAGCTACATACAAACAAACATCCAAGGGGATAAAACCTACAAGCAGAAATAAGGAAGAATACTGGATGTACATGACAGCTGTACACATGGCACTATGCCGAATAAAATAATTGAATTTGAAGCTGCCAAATACTCTTCATCCAAAACTTGCCTTCATACAGTATTTCTCTGTTCCTCGGTATTTTCTAGCTGGATTTTATTTTCCATTCTCTATGAATTATTTTCAAGGTAGCATTTAGATACTGTTGGGTCTAATTTAAAACAAAGTTCAAAACTGGCAAGAGTGAAGAAGTTTGAGGAACATCTTCCCTGCAAAACAATACGTGTCCCTTCTTTGTCAGGCCTGATGAAAGCACTGTATTCAGTAAAAGCACACCTTCTTCAGCAATGTCTATTGATCTAGTGGAAGATACCAGCATGCCCTGTGAATCTTCCTGTATTTTACAAGGCTTATGCAAAATCCTTTCAATTATTTTGGATCTAAAGATTTACAGATTTTCCCAACAGCCTGTGAGAACAATTCAGGACTATGTGAACTCTGATATTTAGAACTTGGTACGAAAAAGTATAACTACATATAATAGAATAGGAAACCTCATCCAGCTACTAGCAAGTGCAATTGCATCTGGAAGGCATATGCCTATAAGATTTGGAGCAAAAGGTGTTGGGAACTGAAGAGCAAACGTTTTTTAATTCTCCAGACCTGGTGCAGGGCACGAACTGGAAGACAACAACAATCTAAGGATGGTAAACCCAGGGGGACACAAGGGAAAGAAAGTTTTAATTATAATACAAACCTAAGTTCTATGTACCTTAACGAAGAATGTCCTGAAAGTTACTGAATTATGGTGTAGGTAAAGTTGTAGATGTGACTGCAGTGAGGTGGACACAGAAAGACACTTCTCAAAGAGTGCCAAAACAGTCAATTTTTACAAATTAACAATGTGTACAGTCTCTGTGTGCAGGAGGGTGGTACATCAATAACAAAACAAAAACCCCAATGAACTTTGAGGGAATCCATTACAAGAAACACCACTGCTCTCTTTAGTTTAAAATGTGCTTTCTAGCAACTCAGTCTGGCAAACTTCCAAAAAGCCCTTTCCCACTCATATGCTGTCAGCAATTTCAGGAATCGTTAAACAAGAAGTGAAATAAAATACGGATAACCTGCAGGAAAATGGTGTGAAATAAAACAGTATAAGCAAGAAATCTTTTGCAGATTTTCAGGGGGTTTGGGACAAAAAGTTTTATAAACTGCCTTTAACCCAAAAGCGAAATACAAGCTATGTTCACACACCCAAATATCAGCATACGAAAGTGCAATTCATGCAGAAGCTGTATGAATCAACCTTAAAAAAGCTCAGTACTAGAAAAGCAGAATTATAGCTTCTGCATTCAAGTCCTTTACATTCAGCTATTTAACAAATGTGGCTTCCCCTTGTTTATATGAACTGTTCAGTTAACAAATGCTCTGATTCTGTAGTTTCTGTGCAGGAATCAGTGCATTTCCAACACAAAGCTTTAAAAACTTCCCATATGCTACATCATGTCCACTTTCATAATTGACCAAAATTCACAAATTCTCCATGTGACAACAGACTCCCCAATCCAGACACGAATAAAGAGAGGATTAACACAGTTTTATGGATGTATAGATGTTTCAAAATAACAAAAATAACACAGAAATAACATAAAGTTAGACCCAAACCACCTCTGATGAATATGCAAATGGTAATTTCCAGTTCAATATCTAGACAGACATTAAACAGTCCATTCTGTCACGCCATCTGCTAAGTAGTTACCAACCCTGCTCTGGTCTCCATGCTCTTTGTGCTTTAGTTTTATTTTTAAGCATGGAGCCATTCAACTTAAGTAGAAGTCAGATAAAAGACACACTGGTGAACTTACAGAAAAAAAATAAACAGAAAGTGATACACAGCAAAATCATCAACTAAAAAAGAAGTAATCAAATTTCGGATCAATGATAAGGAGAATTCAAAAATTACTTCTAAATGCTTGCCTGAATTGCACTCCAAATAAGTTTACGCTCAGCAGGTCGTGAAAGCTTAAGCTTTGTATTAAAAATTTTTATTTAATAGAATAGTTAAAACATTTGGCAAAAAAATATTCATTTACATGATGGAAAAGAAACCATGGGAATTATTCCTCTGTGTGTGCATGCACACATGCATGGAATCATAGAGTGGCCCATCAAAATACAGCCTCAGAATATCACCTTAGTCATGCACCAAATACCAATATAAAATCTTAGCAGTACAAAGGAAAACCTGTATCCACTGTGTGCCACATCCACTGAGATACCCAATGTAAGAGAAAAGGTGATTATTCACAAGTCTGGTGGATATCACAAAAATCCCAAGGGCATGAGGGATGCACTTTTCCCTGCCCCAGGTTTTCTTCATTTGCAACTCAATAAAAGCATTCAGTAATTGAAAGATTTGTTAGAGATAAGCTGTTTTGCACTGTGGGTTCACTATGGGGAATAAAAGAAAGAGTTGTGCTAACTTTTATTAATATTATTTTTTAATTATTAAAAATACTTCTGTGCCTGAATATTTACTCTTAAAACCCCTGAAATACTAATTCTTTGGAATAAGCTAAAACAAGAGTGATAAAATTTTGTGTTATTAAGAAGAGTCAAAGATAGTGACTTAGAACAAGAACCTATTTTTTTAAGGAAAAAATACAAAGGCTAGCTCAAATGCCAAGATGAAAATTTCTTTATTACTCTTACTTTCAAAATATCTTGAGTTTCATTCCATTTGTTAGTCCACTCTTTGGTCAGTTCTTGTACCTATGAAAGAAAACAAATATTTTTAAAAAATCACATCTCTTCCAAAGTCCTTGGTAATGCATTCTGAGAGAAGCACTAAGCATTTCTGCAAATTTTTTGTGAAGTTTAATATTTAAACATTTAGAAGAGCATTGTTGCTCCTGCAACAACAATACTTTTCCCTCAAAAAGGAAAATCACAAAACTCTAATTTACAGTATAAAATGAAACTAAGGACAGGGATAACTATTTCAAAGAAAGGCCTTTCAAAGAAATGGAGTAATTCCATAAAGCACTTCATCAGTCCTATAAAATCTACTGCAACAGACTGATCTCTTAGCTGTAACAAGACGGCTCCTTTCCTATGGCCCCTGTAGGCATGTTCAGGCTAAAATCCCCTCCAGAGGATGGCAGGCAGAGGAAGAGGCAGGCCAGCAGCCCGCAGGAAAGAATCAACGTTTGCTACAGCTTAGAAATCACACACTTCATTGACATTGGCGCAGAAGTGAGAAGATACTTGCAAAGGTATTACAGACAGGGAGAGCACTGGGAATAGAATCATAGAATCGTTTTGGTTAGAAAGACCTTAGGATCATCAGGTCCAAATCATACACAGCCAAGCCCACCACTAATCTATGTCCCTCCTAAGTGTCACATCTTTTAAATACCTCTAGGGATGGTGACTCAACCACTTCCCTGGGCAGACTGTGCCAATGTTTGACAACTCTTTCCACAAAGAAATTTTTCCTGACATCCAATCTAAACTTCCTCTTGCCCTATCACTTGTTACCTGGGAGAAGAGACTGACTCCCACCCCTCTACAGCTTCCTTTCAGGTAGAGAGCAATTAGTTTTCACCCTGAACCTCCTTTTCTCCAGGCTGAACAACCTCAGGTCTCTCAGCCACTCCTCATACAACTTGTGCTGCAGGCCCTTCCACAGCTTCAGTGCCCTTCTCTACACTCACTCCAGCATCTCAATGTCCTTCTTGTAGTGTAGGTCCAAAATCGAACACAGGATTTGAGATGCCTCACCAGTGCCACATACAGAGGAACAATCACTGTCCTGGTCCTGCTGGCCAGACTATTACTGATACAGGTCAGGATGCCATTAGCCTTTTTGGCTACCTGGGCACACTGCTGGCTCATATCCAGCCATCTGCCAACCAACACCCCCAGGCTCTTTTCCCCCAAGCAGCTTTACAGCAACTCTTCCCCAGTCTGTAGCACTGCCTGGGGTTGTTGTGACCCAAGAGTGGGATCCAGCACTTCGCCTTATTGAACCTCATACCACTGCCCTCAGCCTGTCCAGATCCTTCTGCAGCATGTTCCTACTCCTAAGCAGATCAGCACTCCCACTCAACTCAGTGTAGTCTGCAAACTGACTAAGGGTGCACTCAATGCCCTCATCCAGGCAACTGATGGAAATATTAAACAGGACTAGCTCAAATACTGACTCCTGGGGAACACCACTGGTGACCAACTGCCAGCTGGATTTAACTCCATTCACCACCACTCTCTGGCCTTGGCCATCCAGCCAGTGTTTTATCCAGCAAACAGTGCACCCATCCAAGCCATGAGCAAATAATTCCTCACAGAGCATGCTGTGGGAGACAGTCTCAAAGGCTTTACTAAACGCCAGGTCAACACCATTCACAGCCTCTTCCTCATCCACTAAGTGGGTCACCCTATCATAGAAGGAGATGAGGTTGGCAAAGCAGGACTTGACTTTCTAAACCCATACTGACTGGGCTTAATTCCCTGATTGTTCCGTACACACTGTGTGATGGCAGTCAATATGACTTGCTCCATGACCTGCCCCAGAACTGAGGTCAGGCCAACAGAATGCTTGGGATTTGTCCTTCCTTTCCTACCCATCCATACTTACCTTGTAAGTCAACTTTCATATAAACCCACTGTAGAGAAAAAGAAGTCTTCAGTGAAGTTGCTCCAAACATCTCCACATTTGCCACCCACAGCCTACTTTCCTTGCTGTCTTTCCAGATCAATTGCAAATTAACCCATGAGAACTACAGAAACTTCACTCATTTCTACCTGTATCTCAAGATTTCAACAAATAAGCACACTTTTCAATGTACCATTATCATTCCTAGTGCTGTTAATTGGAATATTAAAACAAAATAAATTTGAAAATATTAAAGAAAAACATGAAGAAGGGCTATCATAGGTCTATTCACCATACCAGAACAATTTCTATTGCCCCAAAACATTGAATTTTTAATTTCATTTTTAAAAATGAAACATTTTTAAATGGAACAATTATCAAATATTCTTATATAAGGAAAATCAACTCATTAAAAAAAGCCACCAAATACTTGTCAGATAATTTTAATATGGTGATAAAGTCTTTAGATCTGTATAAACAAGTTAATTATTGCATTCATTCAATTATAAAAGAGTTGTAACTAATGCAATATCTACTAAGAATTTTCAGTAATTATGTCTATTGTAATTATCATGAGTAGTAATCACATAACCTTTTAATGAGGCTGACAAGAGATAATAAAATATGCTCAACATACTCCCCATACAGAGGGGCCAACACTTCTGAGTAGGAAGTGTTGCAGGACCAGCAGTGATTACTGTCAGAGCATGAATAACATACCCTAATTAGCATATAGTCAGCAGTTTATATTACTCAGCTACTTTTAGATAAAAGCTTTTAGCCTGTACTCAAAAATAAAACTAATGATACAAATAAAACAGGATTCTCAAAGCAAAGCAGTTCATTGTCTAATTCTAATGGTCTAACACCAGCACCACTGCAAACACTACCATTTAAACCAGCTAAGAAGCCCCTAGTTTTTTTAAGCATCATATGTATATTTCATTAGCATCTTGTTGCCCATATTCAGAACTAAGTATTTGCTGCCATGTAGCTGAATAATTCCAAATACTTCCTTCTCGCCTCTTCCAAAGCCTACTTTGTTAAACCAGTTTGTAGCAGCTTTACAAGCATGCAAGTGTATAGAAAAGAATTAACATAGAATAATACAATGAAGAATAAAAGACTGCAAGTCAGAGAAATGAGAGTAATGTGGTATCTATATTCTTTTGGACACTGCGAATTATCTAAAATGGGAAATTCTTCCAGTAATACTATGAAGTACACTTAAATCTCAGACTCTTCCCTCAAAAGACAGCTAATTAGGCACTGAACATATTCATACGTACCAGATTTAAATACTGAAATTTTCTGAAAACCTACCCCACAACACAAGCTATTAATTACTTGAAAGCACAGAAGACTTGACCATTTTTCCCATAAATCCTTAACTGGTTTTTCTACACACTGAGTATTTTGTTACTGTGATTATTTGCTACTTATTATTGTGATTTAGTAGCTTTTCCCTCTCAAGTCTATTTACAAACACACTTTTTCAGTGAGGCAAGCTGGCTTGGGAATAAATATTTTCATTAAATAGAATTGCTATATAAATATCAAAGATGTATTTTGCTCTTAGTTATGGTTTTATCTTCTATTACTAGGATAACAAAATTACAAGTTCACACTTTTTTTTTTAACCATCAAGGCTTTTTGGTGGGAGAAAATTCAGCTGTGCATTCAAGAAAGCCTGAAAATTACCAATACTCTTGCATCCAGACTACCCACCCTTCCTCTTTTTGTTGTTTAAAAGCTGTTTTATGACACTATAACTCACCCTTGCTTCATTCTGCTGAAGCTTTTCTTCCATACTTAAAGCTGTTGGAGAATCCAAGAGTGCAATCTAAAATTGTAAAAAAGTAAACATCCAGTCAAAAAGAAAGAAAAAAGTAATAATTTCTGTGGGAATCAAGTTAATTTCAATTGTTCAACTTCTTTGATTGCTTAGCACAAAGTCTTCTAACTTCAATAGACATATTTTTATCTTGAAATACTGTAAGCAAAACAAAATACTTTACTGAAATACTGTAAACAAATCAAAACCTTGTCAAAGCACATATTTCAAATAGAAATTGGTTTGAGAGTATTACTTTCACTTGCTATGTACACACACAGTGACACCCATGCAGACACTGAAACCAGACATAGGTTTATAGCATGTAATTGCTGATACATTTCCCTTTGCATTTCTGTTCAACATGAAAATTTGTTACGCATGAATAGCTAACCATTTTGCTGTAATATGTATGTATATTGCTTATCTTTAGTAACTATATATTAAAGTCATTGGCTTTAAAAGTGAAACACCACTACACAACACACACATACATGCACTACTCATTGCCCTATGACCTACACTGAATCCAGCACTGTATTTTGGTAAACAGTATTGTCAGCCCTACAGAACCATTTGCAATACAGTATTCTGGGAATACAATGGAAAATCACAAAAGAAATTATACAGATTTATATTCTACTGTGCATACATAACACACCACCTGCTGTTTTATCAAGCATCACAAATTCAATTATCTTAAGCAAGTTCTCTATTGTCTCCCACACAGCCATCTATCACATCCTACCACCGAACCAGATTTATTTTGTGATATCCACTGTTTTACAGCTTGAAACTAGGTCAAAGCATTCAATCTTCAAAGGCGTCTAAGTTACATCTACTTTGCCAAGTCTAAATCAAATCATAATTTGAAAATAAATTAATTTTCCCCTCCTAAAGAATATGGGAGAAACACAAGCATAATTAAGTAATTCAACCCCACAAAGAATTTTCCAATTCTTTGTAACAAAGCAGAGCTCTCTGCTTCAATCATCAACAATAAATATTTCTGCTTCCAACTCTGGTCCCATCCCCTTTTTTCAGCAAATGTTTTATAGCATGAAATCTAGCTGAAGTATTAGCCTTCTATTAATAAAAGTCTATGCTGAACTGACATTTCACATTGCACAGCCCATCTCAAATAGAACTAGATAGTTCTAGAAACAAATCTGAAGTATCTTTTCAGATACTTCCAAATCATATTTGGTCAAGTATGAAATCTAACAGTCCTGAGTGACATGTAGAAGAGGCAACTGGCCTGAGCCAACTGCACATACCTTATTGTTAGCTTGGTTTCACTATCCTGAGAACAGAGGATAAACTAAATCTAACTGAACTCGTGCAGCAAATGCTTATAGCAGCTCATACTGACAGAACAACAAGGAGAACTGTGCAAAAGGGAATCATAGCATGATGATGTGTTTTCATACATGACTACTATGTACTGTGCAGCCAAACACAAATAAAATGTACTGTTCACACTCATCCATAATCCTGCACTTTTATATATACATCTTTAATAATTTAAACCTTCTTTTAAGATACTACATAATGTATCTCTCCAGTCCATCAGGCTAGACTCAGGAATTATGTTCCAGCTCAATTTGCTTATGCTGTGGTGACTACCTGTTCCACATCACATTGCAATCAAGCTCTGGTTATATTAAGAAAAAGCTACAAGCTTGGGGATGACAATTTTTCCCCCCTTATGTTAAAAGAGGTGATCTGCTGGCCGTATGGAAACCGATTCAATCAGGAAAATAATATTCCATTCATAGCCTTATAGAGCTTGTTTACACAAATCAATATAATGAAATATAATTATCTCATTACATTCTAGAAATAGATGTTATAACTCCAGGAAAATTACACATAAATTCCAAGTAAAGCTAACCTGATTCCCTTGAGCGAGCAGGGCTTTTAATCGGGCTATTTCAGCTCTCAGCTCACGGATCAGTTTGACGTTCGGATCCTCATTAATAGTAGGTTTGTTGATGATGTTTTTGGCTCTATTTGCATAGCGAAGTGTACTTAAAGTTTCTCCATAATTGACATCAGCAGGTGAAATAGCTAAGGAGATGAAATCAGAAACAGTTTATCCAGCACCCTATGTTTCATCTACTAAAGTTAGTCTGTGTTTTTAAAGTCAGATAAACTTCATGAGGACGAAGAGACAGAAATACACGACTAACCAGTATGGCTACAATTTGTTACAACCCTTCACCTAACTCCACTGCTTTCACGTCACTGTAACTTTGCATAAATAAACACTGTATGAGAATAGTGCATTAGAATAATCAGGTGTAACAATCAAGGGCTGTAAAGAAGTCTTGCTGTCAATCTACTTAACATTTACATTTCTCTGGTAAGCAGAAATGTCGTATATGAATACTTCACAGGCTTTCTTGTAATTTTTTTACAAGAATGGTGAGGAAAATAGTGAGCATTTTACAAATATCAATGCAATCACTGAACGGGAAAGACATTTCAGATAAAACAGTTCAGTACTTTTAAAGGTACATTAAACAGCATTAAACAAAAAGAAATAGACATGAAATCCAAAACAAGAGAAGAGCAGCTGTAATTTACAAACCTAGCTGTTCTGCTGAGCTGCAGGCATGTGACAGCACACAGAACTGTTAGCTATCTGATGCAGCAAGAGAAAACACTATGATTTTTACAAGCAACCTAACCAGGAAAAACAATGGAGTTTAAATGGAAGTGCTAACGCTATCCTTCACTTAATTTGCCTAACAATGTATATAGTGTTCCAAATTAAAAAAGATACTTAGTGCACCCAAACAGATGAGCAAAAACACAGAAGAGAACACCATCCAGAAATGATGAGGGACCAGAAATCTTAATGATCAAACTCAACAAGAGACCCAGAGAATCTGACAATGAGAACATCTAAAAATCTAATGAAGCAACTAAAATATTCTGTCCTTTCTCATTCTCTCAATAATAATAAATATCCTTTTTGTGGCAGACTCCCTGAATCATGGGAGATGCAGGTGGCAACAGACTGTACTTCCCCTAGCTCACACTATCACTTCCCTGCTTTATCTACTGTCTCCTCTCCACTACTCAATTATTCTCTCTCTGGAAGGATGTTACAGTAAGTTATAGAAATATGACAAATCAGAACCAGATGTATTTTTATAACAGCCTTTCCTACAGTTGGAAATTATCTTCCTGCTTTTCTTGTGTCTACGTACAGAAAAGGCAGGCCAAACATATCCAGACAGCTTGTCAGGCTCTGTTAAGCAATTCAACCACGTTACCAGAAGTGTTCATGTTGGAGAAAAGATCAACCATCAGGGCTCTCCCTAGCAGAAGCATCCCTAATGGAAGAGGAAGCAGCTGAAAAGAAGCTGGTACTGTAATCATTAGTACAGGCACTGAAAGCTCACTGTGTTCCTAAAACTTTTCGTGTTGCCGGCACACTGTTATTTAAACAGCCAGAAAACCAAAGCAGAGTCTGGTCCACAATCTTCTGTTGGCACTGCTATAAAGAGCCTGAGGAAAACAAGTGGCATAGATTCCAAAAAACATTCCCAAAAGCATGCAACAAGGAAGTGCTATCCAGAGAATTTGACTGCCACAAAGTGGCTGAAGAACCAGAATTTGATCTAATGCACTTTATTCCCTTGATTCTGCTCTCCCTTCATTCCCCAAAGAGGACTG